TTGTGCACTTTCCTCTGTTCCTCTTACCATCAGTATGTCCTGTGAGTGTCAAATTTTCTACACCCTCTTTCCTCATTATATACGCTAAAAATTTAAACTGTTTCTCTGTCCTATTTGTTTCAATTTTCTCTAAATCTTTGTCATTACTCATACACTCAGTTCTTGATATTCTCAGTATCCTTCTGTAGAATCACAGCTGTTGCCTCAAGAACTTTCATAATCTGTGAAAAGATTGTCCAACATTCACAGAGGACTGATATTACTTAACAGTTAAGTACTCTTTTTTTTGTTTCTGAGATTTTCCAATTTCTTAATAATTTGCTTAGCTTTTCAAAGGCCTCTTCTGCTATCCCAATGCACCTTTAGATTTCATTATTGCATTTTCCATCCTCAGTTAAAACACTTCCTAGATATTTAAATACATTGAAACTGAACAGAACAAACACTGATCGTAACTTCCAAATAATGATAATTTCAATAGATTTATTGAACATCTGACCCTGACAAGCAATTTGACATGGAACACTGGAGTCGATCAATGAAGTCCATTAAATATTTATTGAATATATATTTGTGTGTGTGTGTGTGTGTATATGTGCACATACCATGACTTCGTAAAAGTCATAGGACAATACTAAGTAAAAGTAATGATAGGTGGTGCCACTGTACCTTGACAATATAGAAATGTCCAAATCTATATCAGTTGTGCTTTGACTGGTAGTAAATTTTACAAACACTAGCTCGGCTGCTCATAACAAGACAATATGAATTATAAGAATTCAAACAAAGTGTAATAGCACATGTCAAATGGACAGAACATTACATTTCATGAAATTGTGGAGACATTTGATATCTGTTGACCTATGGTCTCAGATGTGGACTGGGAATATCTGATGGTCGTCATTATTACACTCGATGAATAGCACTGTGGACAACGACAGGTTCTTAACAATCATGACCAGAGGTGACGGGATATTACCATTTGCAGTACAGGCACCTCAACGTGGTGTAATGGTTAGAAAGTTTGTCTTGCTAGATCAATTACGACCAAGTAGTGAGTTCGATTCTCACTGGGTGCCCCATACTTTTGGCCTTGTGCCACATCTAAGCTGGGCTTGGAAAATCACTATAATCATTTGCAGTAACAGACAAGCAACACTGGCTCACATTACATCTGCATTCAATGCGGGAGGTACTAAATATATATTCAGGTAATTTCAGCACTCTTTAGCATTCAATGGATATGGGAACAAATGATTCTCAAGATAGTGCCCCTCCTAACACTACAAGACTGGACACAGCACCTAATCTGGGTTTGGGACATCATTAATTGGACCCGAGAAGATTGGCCATATGTAGCCAGCTATTGTTCCATTTGTTATGGGGTTGACTTTAGGTATAGTGCAGACCCCATAAGGCTATGGACCTTACTTATGAAGATGGCACTATGCAGGTTGCTAGTGGCTACATAATGGTGTGGGGTGTGTTTACATGTCAGGAATTGGATCTGATGGTTTGTCTGAACATGCCATTTATAAGTGTATTATGTTACATTCTTTTATTACCATTTTCAGCCAATCAACTCCATATACCCCAACAATGATGGGTGATTCCAACAAGATATTGCAACATGTCATCATTTCACCCCGAGTAAGGCAATAAAGACCCTAAGACACAACTGGTTGATCAATTCATTTTCTACAGCTTATCAACCTTTTGCAGGTTATTTAAAGCCAGAAAATATTTTAGATTTCTTTGTTTAAGATAATGATTTAGTGATACAAGTCTTACTAATTAACCAATAGCTAGAGAGAGAAAAGGTGGATTCATACCTTTTCCAAGAGTATTTGTGTGCAAGTTAATATAATGACCACAATTGTAATTGGAACTTGGCTCTCTGATTAACAATTCTGAACCTATTACACCACCTGCACATCCAAGTGCCCATCAACATACTGTCCAGGCTTGACATTGCTTAAGTTTAGTGATTATGCAGGAACCAATGTTTTAATGTGATGTGGCTGTAAGCTTACTACTAAGAGGCAAGGGATTATGATTACATCTAGAATTTCAACTCCAAAATGAGCTGCCAAACTAGTACTGCCTTTAAATTTATGAGGTACCAAAGGAAGCACATCAGAACAGTTAGGCTGAAAGTATTTATAGAAAAATCATAGGGAACAGTTGTGTTCATTATATTCACTTTCCTACTACCATAGACATTATGGTAATAGGAAAGTGACTGAAGTTGAGATGCCAGGTCAGGACCAATAACATTACAGATTTTTCTTTAGATTTTGTCAAAAATATCTGGATACTTAAAATTCTGGAGACTTTCATAAAATGGCATGGCTACTATGTTCATTAGACACAAGTCCATTTATATGATGTAGTGAAGAGGTCGATATACACAAAATATCCTGCACCTACAAAAATCAGGAAGGGAGCTGCAGACAGCTATTGAGATGTCATAGCTTAGCATCTTTCCAGAAGTGATCCCAAACACTGGAAATTGATGTCAGGCAAGAGGGGATTCTACACTATAAAAGATACCGATCAGATGACTTTTGGCATGTCAATTTGCATCACCACATCAGCAGTCCCTTAACAGAATGTGGAGGGTCATTGTAGTGAGGTGGAAGTGGAGGGTGAAGAGCCAAATTCCAAGGTATTCTGTCGGCAGCTGTCAATAGAACATTCAGGAATTTCTTGTTTTGTCACCTGCATTTCCATCCTTGTTTACATAACAGTTTTAGCCAGAGTATCATGCTCGACAACATATCCAAACCAAGGGTTCTCTGAGAGTGAGGACGTAAGTATCTTGACCAAGCTTCACAGACACTCATTTATCTTGTGCTCTCAACATAACAATTTTTTCAAGTATTTGACTTCTTTCCTGTTCCAATTATCTGTCTCCATGTCTCACAGCCACAGAACAGGATGATTTAGTTTGTGAGTGTAAAAACATGAATATATAAACATCAAATGCTAATTATACTCAGGCCTAACAGCCACTCCTGCTTACGTTATATAAATAATGTCCCTGTTCTCTAAGTAATGTTTCCTTTAATTCTTGATCACTGATAATTCTGTTTAATTTGCAACTCCTTCTGTAATAAATTATTTTTAATAAATATTTCTAGTAAAATTCTTTTCTGTCTATTTACATTATATGAATAACAGCCATCTTTGTTTTCATTCCTGACCACTGGAAATTCTTTTTGATTTTCAATAGAAAATATCAAAATTTGCTGACACAAAAATTATAGCTAAAATATAGCAAAATTCAGTGTTTAATTATCAAATTTTTTCTTTACTGCCAAGAATATTTATTTTGTGAGTGTAAAAATTTGATTGAATCCGAGCGGCTGGAATAGGTAGAAATTCAGTGGGTAGCAATGGGAAAATCCCAAACCTTGCTTACATATGTTTGAATTCATTTGGCATTAAAATACAGTTCGGATTGTTTGTTTTGACCCTCCCTTTAAGAATTTGCTGAGTGAATAACTGTTTCTAAGAAGAGTATTTTAATACATTCAGTAACAAATGGCATTCACTTTGTTCTTCACACTTTGGTGTGACTAAGACTCGTTTTTGAGCAATGCTCTTTTGTCTGTGAAAAATCGCCGTTCTTCTATACTCGAACTACAGGTTTCAAGGAAAAAAAAACAAAAACCTTTACACTATCTTTCGGTCAAGAGCTGTAACTCATTAAAGATATAGTTTTTTTAGATATAGGCAGTGTGGCCATAAGAGTCAACTCTGCATAATGACAATTACTTTAACACCTCAATACAATTTTCAGAAGATTGCATTATGGTGTGAAACTTGCAGTAAGCATGCAGTGTTGTAATTAAATTATTTATTTATAAAAATCATAAATATTTCAATTTTACTATTAAATCCTATTTGTTGCTATATACATAAGATAGAGATGTTTAAAATTTGCTACATTTATACGGCAAGTATTAGAGATAGAGATTTTATAGATAGTGTGGACATCAGAATCAACATTGAATGGTCACCATCAGTTTCACACTTTAATGCCTTGTGAGTGGAACTGGGTAGATGAAAACATCTGGAAGCTGTTGATGGTTATGCTAGCACAAAGTCACAAGCCATCATGATCGAATGTTTGAATGTGCTAGCCTTGTTCAAATTAGTCTGGTGAGGTCTGGTATTTTGTTGATGTTATAAAGTTTACCATTTCATTTCCATCCTCCATTTTGGTTATTTCACATTCAGTAACCTTTTTTAGGTTACAACACACTGTAAAGTCATCATCCCTGAACTGGCACCTTGACTTCAATCACTTTCCCATAAATATTTTCATAACAATTGTTTTAATAAGCTTTCCTCTTTGATACCTCAATGTCATGAATTTAAACGCAGTACTAGATTGGCAGTTAAGTCTCATTTTACTGTTGAAATAGATGTAAACATAAGTTCTATGCTAATAGTTTCTTCTCTCACACTTCTCACTTATGAAATTCTTCTAGCTTCATACTTTCATTTCCAACCTCCATTTTGGTTATTCCTTATTCAGAAACCCTTTCTAGGTAACAACAATTATATGTAGGTATATATTCATCTGAAACATTATTAAGTGAACACTTCATATTTGAAATAGAATTACATCATAGAAGAAAAGCTAATTGTTATATATATATACCTATGAACATTAATGGGTATGTACCAATCCTCATAAATATGTTGGACACTATTGTAAGTCAGGGTAATATTCTAAGTAGTCCACCACTAGCAGTGGTTTACCTACTTCACACTGCTGGTGAGTATTGTATTTTGTTGACGTTATAAAGATTACCATTTCATTTCCAACCTCCATTTTGGTTATTCTTCATTCAGTAACCCTTTCTACGTTACAACAATAACAAAACACTTAAAATATTTCTGTAACAATAACAGAATAAAAGGAAAATAAAAAAAATAGAAAATAGAAAGATAAGAAATGTAAGAAGGAGCATTTGCTAAATACTTACCCTCAATTCAACCCATTTGTCAAGTAAACGTTTCTGGTTGAATTCACACAGCAGGCCTGACTGGGTGATTGTGTAGGTGTTGTCAGCCATGGCACCTTTGCCACAGGCTACATCACTAAAAAAATTGTTTTTCTGTTCCCCGAGGATTCCAGAACGGCCCATTAATGGCACCGTTTCATTTATCTGCAAAACAAAGTACAACAAAATGTAAATACACTTACAAGATGCGAAGAAAAAGATTGTTGTTTTTTTTTTTTTGTTTATTTTTGTCGGTCAATACAAAATGTTGCTTTATTTTCAAACATTTTTTCTTTGGTGTTCTTTCTCTCAAATAAAAAGACATCTAATTGAGTAGATTGGAAAATAGATTTAATCACAAAGTGTGTAAATCAGAAATATTCATAAAAATAAATTTTCTTTTATATAAGTGACTTCTAAAACTTGTCTTCGACTATACTTGTAGAATGTACCTTCCATCTGAATGATCTGAAACAGAACTTTATTGTTGGTTACCTTGTATAATCATAATTAAGGCACTCCAGAAATCAATGCAGAAATATTTTACATCCTTTATTTTAAAATTGATCCTTTACAATTTAATCTCATTTTCTATAGCCATTCATTATATATATAAGTGGACGCTGAGGTCAACAGAGCAATCTTGAGACGTGAAGAAAAGCATGAAACAAAAGTGTTGCCACTTTTTATGTTTAAATACATTCTATCACTGATATTGAGAACATTTACCCATAAATATAGCATACCATAAAACTATATTTTAGTTTTATATATATATATATATATATATATATATATATATGTGTGTGTGTGTGTGTGTGTGCATATGTTTTTTTGGGGGGGGGTATATGTGTGTGTGTGTGTGTGTGTGATAATAGCTGGCCACTGGTATTCAAGGATACCCGTCTACTAGGGTGGCAAGACAATCCTTAATTCAGACACTCGCTCAGGCACATTTGTGTTTCTTCAACACCCACAAAGCTCACCTGTGGTTTATACTGCAACTATGCTGAGCAGACCTTAGTTACAGTTTCTGGGAGAGAATGTGTTACCTAGCATGATCAAAAACCTGAACAAGGCCAGCACACTCAAACCCTCGGTCATGATGACTTGTGACTGTGCTAGCACAGCTATCGACAGTCCCCCATATGTTCCACCTACCCAATTTCACACACATGGTTTGGGTCAACCCGTGGTATGGTTTTCAAGCACTTTCCAAAGATGCTGCATGCTGGGATCACCACCACCCTCCAGTCTGATAACATCAGAAAGTCTCCTTCCTGACAAATCAACCGTGGTGAGATTTGAACCCGTGTCTCATAATCAGAAGGCGAACGTTCTAACTACTCGGCCACACACCCATTATATATATATATATATATATATATATGCACACACATACAAAAAAAAAAAAATGTAAACTTCAGAAGTTTTCACTTATTTTTTTAGGAGAGACATTTATTTCAAAACAATAGAAAAGTATTTTCTTCAAAGTAGGACACTGACTTTAATGCTCTTGCCGTAGCACTGCACCCATTTCTTGAGTCCCCCCTCCACTGTAGCACTCCACCCACTTCTTGAATGGTTCCTTGTAGCAATCCAAAGTGAAGGTATCCAGGGTTCTCATGAGAAATTCTTTTCCTTCAAATCCTCAAGATGCTAATCCATAAGCAGTCTTAATTCTGTTAATAACTTAATAATCTTTTATTTAAATCTTAGTAAAAACACTGCAGAAATATTAATTATATATTCCTTATAGAGGAGTAAGACGCCACACTGCAAAAAAAAAACAGCTACCTAACAAGTAAATGCTGATAGACTCAAACAAACAACCAATCCCTGAACCAACTTAAATATAAACAACCAAAATTTACCTTTTCCTAAACAAAAAGGGACACCTATATGATGGCTGTAACTTGATTTTCAGTACTGCTATTGCTTGATCTTACACTTTCTTACACAGTGTGGCAATGTTCTTGTAGAAATCATTATATCTATATTTTGGTGAATTTTCATACAATGTCTTAATTCACCAACTGAGGCATAGTCATTTTTAAACATTTTTTTGTTTTTTTTTTTTTAATAGAAATGCTACATAATGCAGAGCAAATGACTTTTGTCTATGGTGACTGAGAATTTTTTTTTAAGCCTTCCCTATATTTAACCATATTTATTACACACATACACATTATAAAGCTGAAAGAGAGAGAAAAGAGAGGAAAGGAATAGTGAGAGAGTATAAGGAGACAAGAAAATTATGAAAAGAAGAAATAACCACAACATTCTACAGGTGTGTGTGTGTGTGTGTGTGTGTGTGTGTGTATACACACACACACATACACACACAAAATGAAAAAAGTCAACCTAGCACCAATAAAAAGCACAAATTATTTTTGTTTTAAGTTAATATGAAAATAACAAAAATGAGAAACAAAAATGAGAAAATTGGGAGGCAATTACTGATACCTCTTGATAAGTAGACCCAATGATTGCAAAAAAGTTAATCTACAAAACTCTGGATTTGGGGTGCTAAATATCGAATCATAACAATGGATTCTTATGAGTACTAACCTAATTTTAGTAAATGTGTGTCCCCTGCCAATCTGAGTTGGTTGAGTTTAACATGTCAACCTCTATTGGTGTATTTGTCAAAATTAGTTTTTTGAATTATCATATGATCAATACAATAAAATCAGCTGATTAATGCTATATTCAGCACCCCAACATTTCTATATTGCTCAAATTTAAAATATACATACATATCTGTCTATATTTCTGAGATGAGATATTATGTACACTATTTATATCATTTGGACTATAGTCCTCATCTTTGTCGCCATATTTATTGCTAAGTTTCGGCAGTTGTACGCTCCAGCCTTCTTCAGGTTGTTGGAATGTCAAACTGAAAACCTTTATTTCGCAAAATGAAGAGTTCAGTTGAATATTCCAACCACCTGAAGAAGGCCGGAGCGTACAATGGCCGAAACACTGTAATAAATATGGCGACAAAGATTAGGACAATAGTTCGAATAATGTAAATAGTATATATATATATATATATATATATATATATATATAGAGAGAGAGAGAGAGAGAGAGAGAGTACTGTCACTTAGACTTCATTCACAAAATAAATGAGGGTGCGGGACAAGGAAGAAAGAATTGGACAGACAATGTTCCAGACAGCATCACCTTATTCTGCAAAGTCTTCACACATGCAAATGTTAACGGTTAGCAGCATAATAACAGTTCCTAATTTGTATTTCTTTCCCACTGTAAATTCAAAATAATAGTCACTATATTTGCTTGTGAAACAATAAGCATGTGAAATTCCAAACTACAAAGAATTTTTTTTAAAATAGCAGGCTCCCAAATAGATGTTATTCATGGCTCAACAACCACCAACCTGAAATACAGAGAGGAGAAGAGGACAGAGAAAAAGAGAGGAGAAGAGGACAGAGAAAAAGAGAGGAGAAGAGGACAGAGAAAAAGAGAGGAGAAGAGGACAGAGAAAAAGAGAGGAGAAGAGGACAGAGAAAAAAAGAGGAGAAGAGGACAGAGAAAAAGAGAGAGAAGAGGACAGAGAAAAAGAGAGGAGAAGAGGACAGAGAAAAAGAGAGAGAAGAGGACAGAGAAAAGAGGAGAAGAGGACAGAGAAAAGAAGGAGAAGAGGACAGAGAAAAGAGAGGAGAAGAGGACAGAGAAAAAGAGAGGAGAAGAGGACAGAGAAAAGAGAGGAGAAGAGGACAGAGAAAAAAAGAGAGGAGAAGAGGACAGAGAAAAAGAGAGGAGAAGAGGACAGAGAAAAGAGAGGAGAAGAGGACAGAAAAAAAAGAGAGGAGAAAGGAGAGAGGAGAAAAGAGAGGAGAAGAGGACAGAGAAAAAGAGAGGAGAAGAGGACAAAAGAAAAAAAAGGACAGAGAAGAGAGGAAGAGAGAAAAAAAGAGGAGAAGAGGACAGGAAAAGAGGAGAAGAGGAGAGAAAAAGAGAGGAGAAGAGGACAGAGAAAAAGAGAGGAGAAGAGGACAGAGAAAAAGAGAGGAGAAGAGGACAGAGAAAAAGAGAGGAGAAGAGGACAGAGAAAAAGAGAGGAGAAGAGGACAGAGAAAAAGAGAGGAGAAGAGGACAGAGAAAAAGAGAGGAGGACAGAGAAAAAAGAGGAGAAGAGGACAGAGAAAAAAGAGGAGAGAAAAAGAGGAAAGAGAGGAGAAGAGGAGAAGAGAAAAAAGAGGAGAAGAGGACAGAGAAAAGAGAGGAGAAGAGGACAGAGAAAAGAGAAAAGAGAAGAGGAGGAGAAAAGAGAGGAGAAGAGGACAGAGAAAAGAGAGGGAGAAGAGGACAGAGAAAAAGAGAGGAGAAGAGGACAGAGAAAAGAGAGGAGAAAGACAGGAAAAGAGAAAAAGGAGAGGAGAAGAGGACAGAGAAAAGAGGAGAAGAGGACAGAGAAAAAAAAGAGGAGAAGAGGACAGAGAAAAGAGAGGAGAAGAGGACAGAGAAAAGAGAGGAGAAGAGGACAGAAAAAAGAAGAGAGGAGAAAAAAGAGAGGAGAAGAGACAAAAAAAGAGAGAAGAGAGAAAAGAGAAAAGAGGAAGAAAAAGGAAAGGACAGAAAAAAAAAAGGAAAAAAGAAAACAGAGAAAAAGGAAAAAAGGACAGAGAAAAAAGGAAAAAGGGAAAAAAGGAGAAAAAGGGTGAAGAGAAAAGGTGAAGAAAAAAAGGAAGAAAAAGAAAAGAAAGAAAAAAGGAAGAAAAAGGAAGAAGAAAAGGAAAAAAGAAGAAAAAAAAGAAAAAGGAAGAAGAAAAAGGAAGAAAAAGGAAGAAGAGAAAAAGGAAGAAAAAGGAAGAAGAGAAAAAGGAAGAAAAAGGAAGAAGAGAAAAAGGAAGAAAAAGGAAGAAGAGAAAAAGAAAGAAAAAGGAAGAAGAGAAAAAGAAAGAAAAAGGAAGAAGAGAAAAAGGAAGAAAAAGGAAGAAGAGAAAAAGCTA